TGGATGGTGACATGGATGGAGGACATGGATGGGATGGAGGACATGGATGGATGGGACATGGATGGAGGGATGGATGGAGACATGGATGGGTGGATGGAGACATGGGATGGGTGGATGGATGGATGGAGACATGGATGGGTGGATGGAGGGAGGAGGATGGATGGATGGAGACATGGATGGAGGGATGGATGGAGACATGGATGGATGGAGAGGGGATGGATGGATGGATGGATGGATGGATGGATGGATGGAATGGATGGATGGGATGGACATGGAGGGATGGATGGAGACATGGAGGGATGGATGGAGGGATGGATGGAGACATGATGGATGGATGGATGGGACATGGATAGATGGATGATGGATGGATGGATGGAGGACATGGATGGAGGGTTGGATGGAGACATGGGGAGGGATGGAGGGTTGGATGGAGACATGGATGGATGGATGGAGACATGGATGGATGGAGAGATGGATGGATGGAGGGTTGGATGGGATGGATGGATGGATGGAGACATGGATGGATGGATGATGGATGGAGGGGATGGATGGAGACATGGAGGGATGGATGGGAGACATGGATGGATGGGATGGAGGACATGGATGGATGGACATGGATGATGGATGGATGGATGGATGGATGGAGGGATGGATGGATGGAGGACATGGATGGATGGATGAGACATGGATGGATGGATGGATGGATGGATGGGATGGATGGACATGGATGGATGGGGATGGATGGAGGGATGGATGGAGGGATGGATGGATGGAGGGATGGATGGATGGAGATGGATGGGGGGGATGGATGGATTGAGACATGGATGGGTGGATGGATGGATGGAGACATGGATGGGGATGGATGGATGGAGACATGGATGGTTGGAGGGAGGGATGGATGGAGACATGGATGAGATGGATGGAGGAGATGGATGGACATGGATGGATGGGGACATGGATGGATGGAGACATGGATGGATGGATGACATGGATGGATGGATGGAGACATGGATGGATGGAGACAAGGATGATGATGGATGGATGGAGACAAGGATGGAGATGGGGATGGATGGAGACATGGATGGAGGGATGGATGGAGACATGGATGGAGGGATGGATGGGAGACATGGATGGATGGAGACATGGATGGAGGGATGGATGGAACATGGATGGATGGATGGATGGAGACATGGGGGATGGATGGAGGGATGGATGGAGGATGGATGGATGGATGGAGGATGGACAGGGATGGATGGATGGTGACATGGATGGAGGGATGGATGGAGACATGGAGGGGGATGGAGATGGAGGGATGGATGGAGACATGGGAGGGATGGAGACATGGATGGAGATGGATGGATGGGGGGATGGATGGATGGATGGTGGATAGATGGAGGGATGGATGGGACATGGATGGATGGGGATGGATGGAGGATGGATGGAGGGATGGATGGAATGATGGATGGATGGAGGGATGGGATGGAGGGATGGATGGAGGATGGATGGGACATGGATGATGGGACATGGATGGGATGGATGGAGGGATGGATGGGATGGAGACATTGATGGGATGGGATGGATGGATGGGGACATGGATGGAGGGATGGATGGAGGATGGATGGATGGATGGATGGAGGGACCATGGATGGATGGAGGAGGGATGGATGGGAGGGGGATGGATGATGATGGATGGTGTTGGATGGGACATGGATGATGGAATGATGATGGGGACATGGATGGATGGATGGGGATGGATGGATGGATGATGGATGGGTGGATGGATGGACATGGATGGATGGATGGGATGGATGGAGGGATGGATGGATGGATGGAGGATGGATGGATGGAGACATGGATGATGGGATGGATGGATGGATGGATGGATGGATGGATGGATGGATGGAGACATGGAGGGATGGATGGAGACATGGATGGATGGATGGAGACATGGATGGAGGGATGGATGGGACATGGATGGATGGATGGATGGAGGACATGGATGGATGGATGGAGATGGATGGATGGATGGATGGATGGATGGATGGAGACATGGATGGATGGATGGGATGGATGGATGGAGACATGGATGGATGGAGGGATGGATGGATGGAATGGATGGATGGATGGGAGGGATGGATGGATGGAGACATGGAGGGATGGATGGGGGATGGATGGAGGACATGGATGGATGGATGACATGGATGGATGGATGGAGACATGGATGGATGGAGGGATGGATGGATGGACATGGATGGAGGGTTGGATGGATGGAGACACCATGGATGGATGGATGGACATGGATGGATGGATGGATGGAGACATGGATGGATGGATGAGGATGGATGGAAATGGGATGGATGGATGGAATGGATGGATGGATGGATGGATGGATGGGGGTTATGGATGGAGGGATGGATGTTGACATGGATGGATGGATGGATGGATGGACATGATGGAGGGATGGATGGAAAGATGGATGGAGGGATGGATGGATGGACACCATGGAATGATGGATGGATGGAGGGATGGATGGATGGATGGGATGGATGGGGGTGGATGGATGATGGATGGATGGATGGAGGGATGGATGGGAGGGATGGATGGGACATGGATGGATGGATGGAGACATGGATGGATGGAGGGATGGATGGATGGGGATGGATGATGAGGACATGGATGGGATGGATGGAGGGGATGGATGGGATGGATGGATGGATGGATGGATGGAATGGATGAGGACATGATGGATGGAGGGGGGATGGATGGAGGGATGGAGACATGGATGGATGGAGACATGGATGGATGGATGAGGACAAGGATGGAGGGATGGGGGGGACATGGATGGAGGTGTTGGATGGAGACATGGATGGATGGTTGGATGGATGGATGGATGGATGGATGGGGTTATGGATGGGGGAGGATGGATGGATGGTGGGGGACATGGATGGATGGGACATGGATGGATGGAGAGATGGATGGAGGGATGGATGGAGGGATGGATGGAGACATGGATGATGATGGGATGATGGATGGGGGATGGATGGGACATGGATGGATGGAGGGATGGATGGATGGGGACATGGAGGGATGGAGGACATGGATGGAGGATGGATGGATGGAGACATGGATGGAGGTGGATGGAGGATGGATGGAAACATGGAGGAGGGATGGGATGGAGGGATTGATGGATGGAGGATGGATGGGTGGATGGAGACCATGGAATGGATGAGGGATGGATGGATGGAGGGGGATGGATGGAGGGATGGTGTTGGATGGAGACATGGATGGATGGATGAGGATGATGGATGGATGGAGGGATTATGGGATGAGGGATGGATGTTGGGAGGGATGGATGGAGACATGGATGAGGATGGATGGAGAGGATGGAGGGATGGATGGATGACATGGAGGGATGGATGGATGGAGACATGGATGATGAGGACATGGATGGAGGATGGATGGAATAGATGGATGGAGGGATGGATGGAGACATGGATGGGTGGATGGAGGGATGGATGGATGGAGACATGGAGGGTGGATGGATGGAGACATGGATGGATGGATGGAGACATGGGATGGGATGGATGGATGGAGAGACATGGATGGATGGATGGATGGAGACATGGATGGATGGAGACATGGATGACATGGATGGATGGAGACATGGATGGATGGAGACATGGATGGAGGGATGGATGGAGACATGATGAGGGAGGGTTGGTTGGATGGATGGATGATGAGGACATGGATGGAGGAGGGGGTTATGGATGGAGGAGACATGGATGGACATGGATGGATGGAGGGATTGATGGATGGGATGGATGGGTGGATAGGGGGATGGATGGATGGATGGAGACATGGATGGAATGGATGGAGGGATGGATGGATGGAGGGATGGATGGAGGGATGGATGGAGACATGGATGATGGGGAGACATGGAGGGATGGATGAGGACATGGAGGGATGGAGACATGGATGGATGATGGAGGGGATGGATGGACAACATGGATGGATGGGATGGATGGATGGAGACATGGGGGTGGATGGATGGAGACATGGATGATGGATGGAGACATGGATGGGATGGATGGATGGACATGGAGGGATGGATGGATGGAGACATGGATGGAGGGATGGATGGATGGAGACATGGATGGATGGAGACATGGATGGATGGATGACATGGATGGATGGAGACCATGGATGGATGGGACATGGAGGGAGGGGTTGGGATGGAGGTGTTGGATGGAGGACACCATGGAATCGGATGGATGGGACATGGATGGATGGAGATGGATGGATGGATGGATGGAGGATAGATGGAGGGATGGATGGAGGACATGGATGGATGGAGACATGGATGGATGGATGGATGGATGGAGATGGACATGGATGGATGGATGGAGACATGGATGGATGGAGACATGGATGGAGGAATGGATGGAGGGATGGATGGAGACATGGATGGAGGGTTGGATGGAGACATGGATGGAGGGTCGGATGGGATGGATGGAGACATGGATGGATGGATGGAGGGGGATGGATGGATGGAGACATGGATGGAGACATGGATGGAGGGACATGGATGGGACATGGATGGAGGGGTTATGGATGGAGGGATGGATGGATGGAGACATGGATGATGGGGGTCGGATGGATGGAGGACATGGATGGAGGTGTTGGATGGATGGAGACATGGATGGATGGATGGAGACATGGATGGAGGGAGACATGGATGGATGGATGGAGACATGGATGGAGGGATGGAAGGAGACATGGATGGATGGAGGACATGGATGGAGGGATGGATGGATGGATGGAGGGATGGATGACACATTGTAATTGGCTGGTTGGGGTGAGATAAGTTGCAGTACTGGTCTCTGTCTGGTAGGTGGCGATGGCGTTGGATCGTGGAAAGGACAAAGTGTAAAGTTCGCGGTGCAGAGCCCGGGGCGGTGGCGTTGATCTGGCGTTGATCTGGAGTTGGACGGTTGGCAGCCATGTTGCCTCTTCTCTCTGTTTTCGGGGTCTTCCTTTTCCTCGGCACGTTGCTGTTTCTGGTTTCGGTGTTCCTGGAATCCTCCAAGGCGGAATATCCTCCAGGAATGACATGTCCGGCAGAACTCCGAAGTCTCCACAGAATCCTCAGTGCTGTCTCAGTCCTGGTGAGTTCCTGAAAGTCGCCTGAAAGTCGCACTCCACCCAGAACGGAGATTCCGCTTTTTGGTGGATGGCGCCTCCGGAGACTCTGCTATCTTCTACTGGGGAGATCCCAGGTTCTGGGAAGCGTCTGCTGGGGCGCGCTCTCACTGTCTCACTGAATGTGGGAGGTGGAGCCGGGACACACAGGTGGGCGGGGATGCACACAGGTGGGTGGGGATACACTCAGGTGGACGGAGGAACAAACAGGTAGGCAGGGATTCACTCAGGTGGGTGGGGACACACACAGGTGGGTGGGGCACATACAGGTGGGCGGGACACACACATAGGTAGGGGGACACACAAATAGGCGGAGACACATACAGGTGAGTGGAGACACATACAGGTGGGCGGTGACACATACAGGTGGGCGGGGACACACAGGTGCGTGGGGACACATACAGGTGCATGGGGGACACACAGGTAGGCAAGGACACATACAGATGGGCAGGGACACACAGGTGAGTGGGACACATACAGGTGAGTGGGGACACACACAGGTGGGCGGGGACACATACAGGTGAGTGGGGACACACACAGGTGGGCGGGGACACATACAGGTGAGTGGGGACACACACAGGTGGGCAGGGACACATACAGGTGAGTGGGGACACACACAGGTGGGCGGGGACACACAGGTGAGTGGGACACATACAGGTGAGTGGGGACACACACAGGTGGGTAGGGACACATACAGGTGAGTGGGGACACACACAGGTGGGCGGGGACACATACAGGTGAGTGGGGACACACACAGGTGGGCAGGGACACATACAGGTGAGTGGGGACACACACAGGTGGGTAGGGACACATACAGGTGAGTGGGGACACACACAGGTGGGCGGGGACACATACAGGTGAGTGGGGACACACACAGGTGGGCAGGGACACATACAGGTGGGTGGGGACAAACAGGTGAGCGGGACACATACAGGTGGGTGGGGACACACACAGGTGGGCGGGGACACACAGGTGGGCGGGGACACACAGGTGAGTGGGACACATACAGCTGAGTGGGGACACACACAGGTGGGCCGGGACACACACAGGTGGGTGGGGACACACATACAGGTGGGCGGGGGACACATACAGATGGGCGGGGACACACAGGTGGGCGGGGACACACAGGTGAGTGGGACACATACAGGTGGGCGGGGACACATACAGGTGAGCGGGGACACATACAGATGGGAGGGGACACATACAGGTGGGCGGGGACACACACAGGTGAGTGGGACACATACAGGTGGGCGGGGACACATACAGGTGCGTGGGGGACACACAGGTAGTCGGGGGACACATACAGATGGGCGGGGACACACAGGTGGGCAGGGACACATACAGGTGAGTGGGACACATACAGGTGGGCGGGGACACATACAGGTGAGTGGGACACATACAGGTGGACGGGGACACATACAGGTGAGTGGGGAAACATACAGATGGGAGGGGACACATACAGGTGGGCGGGGACACATACAGATGGGCGGGGACACACAGGTGGGCGGGGACACACAGGTGGGCGGGGACACACATACAGGTGGGCGGGGACACATACAGGTGAGCGGGGACACACACAGGTGGGCGGGGACACATACAGGTGAGCGGGGACACATACAGGTGCGTGGGGGACACACAGCTAGGCGGGGACACATACAGATGGGCGGGGACACACAGGTGGGCAGGGACACATATAGGTGAGTGAGACACATACAGGTGGGCGAGGACACATACAGGTGGGGCGAGGACACATGCAGGTGGGCGGGGACACACACAGGTGGGCGGGGACATGTACAGGTGGGCGGGGACACATACAGGTGGGCGGGGACACACGCAGGTGGGCGGGGACACATGCAGGTGGGTGGGGACAAATGTGTGCTAACTAAACCCCAGTTATAAACGCATACTGTTAGACAGGTTAATTCGGTTGTTAGCAAGCTGGCTGGCTGGCAAGTTGTCCAAGAACATTGTTCTCTCCCCCTTTTTTTCACTATGTGATGCCTGTTTATGTGTCCTTGCTTCATAAGCCAGTTATAGACTTGGGCGGGTGGCCACTTTTATGCAGGGTGGGGACACATACAGGTGGGCGGGGGACACATACAGGTGGGCGGGGGGACACACATACAGGTGGGCGGGGACACACATACAGGTGGGCGGGGACACACATACAGGTGGGCGGGGGACACATACAGGTGGGCGGGGGACACACATACAGGTGGGTGGGGACACATACAGATGAGTGGGGATACATACAGGTGGGCAGGGACACATCCAGATGGGCGGGGACACACATACAGGTGGGCGGAGACACATACAGGTGGGTGGGGCACACACAGGAGGGCAAGGACACATGCAGATGGGCGAGGACACACAGGTAGGCTGGGACACATACAGGTGGGCGGAGTACACACAGGTAGGCTGGGACACATACAGGTGGGCGGAGTACACACAGGTAGACTGGGGCACATACAGGTGGGTGGGGACACAGAGGTGGGTGGGGCACTCAAAACTCCCATGTGGACAAAAACAGAGTTGGGGATTCTGTCACTGCTGGGGCCCCCAGACATCAAGGAAGCCAGGAGCTGACTCCACCCATCAATAAAATGTCTCTATTGGGTGGACTGTAAATAATCCCCCCCCCCCCCCCCCCGGGCTCCATGTTCGTACATGTGACTCTGAGCACCTTCATGGGTGGAATCCCCTTTCCTTCTGCCGAGGGACCAGCAGTGGAAAATCTGTAATATTCCTGCCTTCTACAGGAGCTGCATGGAGGAGGAAAGCCTTGGCGGGTCATCAGTGTAATCAGAGGGAGCCCTACTAATTGGCATTGTAGTCTTGAAGGGTTAGGTTCACACTCTAATGAGGACATGTCCGCATGGAGTTTGTGTGTAGAATGCTGGGGTTAGGTTCACACTCCAAGGACAACATCCATATGGAGTTTGTATGTAGAATGTTAGGGTTAGGTTCACACTCCAACAAGGACATCATCTGCATGGAGTTTGTAGAATGTTAGGGTTAGGTTCACACTCCAACAAGGACAACATCTGCATGGAGTTTGTATGTAGAATGTTGGGGTTAGGTCCACATTCCAAGGACAGCGTCTGCATGGAGTTTGTAGAATGCTGGGGTTAGGTTCACACTCCAACAAGGACAGCGTCTGCATGGAGTTTGTAGAATGTTAGGGTTAGGTTCACACTCCAACAAGGACATCATCTGCATGGGGTTTGTATGTAGAATGTTGGGGTGAGGTTCACATTCCAAGGACAGCGTCTGCATGGAGTTTGCATGTTCTCTCTGGGGTTGCGGGAACCTCTGTAGAGGAATGATGATAGATTGTCAGCTCTGCGGTTCAGGATGATAATGTGCGGAGTATACAGGAAATCCTGGGTGGCCCCGGGTGGCCCCGGGGGAGGGTTGGTGTCAGATGTTTGTGGAGGAGCCGGTTCTGTGGCCAGTCAGCCAATGAGAAGCTGCGATCTGATTGGGCGGATGCAGAGCCTTGGCTTTGCTGCAGAGGAGTGGAAGCACCTGTTCTCCAGGTAATATTAGCTCCGCCCACTCCTACAATATGCCCCTCCCTCCTCACAGCTGTGCTTTCACTGCACTCAAAAGAATCAACCCCGCCCATCTAAACTCCGCCCTCTATATACACCCTATGTCTGCACTCCTGAACATCAAACCTGTATGAGCTTCCAAAACCACGGCCACTAACATGGAGCCCCCCCCATGGACACTAACACGGAGCCCCCCCATGGACACTAACACGGAGCCCCCCCATGGACACTAACATGGAGCCCCTCCCATGGACACTAACATGGAGCCCCCCATGGACACTAACATGGAGCCCCCCCATGGACACTAACATGGAGCCCCCCCATGGACACTAACACGGAGCCCCCCATGGACACTAACACGGAGCCCCCCCATGGACACTAACACGGAGCCCCCCCCCATGGACACTAACATGGAGCCCCCCCCCCATGGACACTAACATGGAGCCCCCCCATGGACACTAACATGGAGCCCCCCCATGGACACTAACATGGAGCCCCCCATGGACACTAACACGGAGCCCCCCCATGGACACTAACACGGAGCCCCCCCATGGACACTAACACGGAGCCCCCCCATGGACACTAACATGGAGCCCCCCCATGGACACTAACATGGAGCCCCCTCATGGACACAAACATGGAGCCCCCCAATGGCCACTAACATGGAGCCCCCCCACAGCCACTAACATGGAGCCCCCCCATGGACACTAACATGGAGCTCCCCATGGACACTAATATGGAGCCCCCCCAGCCAATAATATGGAGTTGCCCCCAAATAGCCATTATTATGGAGTTACCCCCCCCCCCCATGGCCATTAATATGCAGTTGCCTCTCCATGGTCAATAATGTACAGTTGTCCCTCCCACCATGGTCATTAATATGGAGGTGCCCCCTATGGCCAATAATATACAGTTGCCCACCCGTGGTCATTAACATGGAGTTGCCCCCCCATTGCCGTTAATATGGAGTTGCCCCCCCCCGTGGCCATGGAGTAGTTCCCCTCACGGCTGGTAATATGCAGTCCCCCCCCCTCCCCATGGCCACCAGTATGAAAGTTACCCCCCTCCCCCACACCAATTAATATGAAGTCCCCCCACCATGGCCACTAACATGCAGTCCCCCCCCCCATGCCCAACAATATGGCGTTGCCCGCCATAAGCATAAATATGGAGTTGACCCCCATGGTTAATAATATGGAGTTACCCTTTCCCCACCTCCATTAATATGGAGTTGCCCCCCCATGGCCATTAATATGGAGTTGACCCCCCATGGTCAATAATATGGAGTTGCCCCTTCCCCACAGCCATTAATATGACGTCCCCCACCCATGGCCACTAACATGGAGTCCCCCCCATGCCCAACAATATGGAGTCCCCCCCATGCCCAACAATATTGAGTCCCCCCCCAAGCCCAACAATATGAAGTCCCCCCCATGCCCAACAATATGGCGTTGCCCGCCATAACCATAAATATGGAGTTACCCCTTCCCCACATCCATTAATATGGAGTTGCCCCCCATGTCCATTAATATGGAGTTGCCCCCCCATGGCCATTAATATGGAGTTGCCCCCCCATGGCCATTAATATGGAGTTGCCCCCCCATGGCCATTAATATGGAGTTGCCTCCCATTACCATTAATATGGTGTTGCCCCCTCATGGCCATTAATATAGAGGTGCCCCCCCATGGCCAGTAATATGGAGTTGCCCCCCCATGGCCATTAATATGGAGTTGCCCCCCACCCTGTCGCCACTACTATGGAGTTGCTTCCTCCCACAACTGTTAATATGGAGTCTCCCCCCCCCCCCCCCCCCCCCCCCTTTGTAGCTTTGACATCCTTTACTCTTCTGGGAAGACTTTCCACCAGATGTTGGAGGGGGTCTGTGGGAATTTGTGCCCATTGTGAGGTCAGGTACTGATGTTGGATGAGAAGACCCGGATCTCCATCGGGGTTCCAATTCATCCCAAAGATGATCAGTCGGGTTGAGGTGGGAATTCTGAGCTTGTTGGACAATCTTAAAACCATGACCATTAATATGGAGTTGTCTCCACTTCCTCCACTGGGAGGGCTTTTCGGTGCAGATTCCTACAGTTGGGAAGCATACCTCCCAACAATCCCTCAGTTGGAGGGGCTGGCCCTCTTATAGAACCACATGGTCTTCCCTGTTCTGGGAAGATTTTTCACAAGAACTTTGGAATTTGTGCCCATTGTGAGGTCAGGTATTGATGTTGGATGAGAAGACCCGGCTCACCATCGGCACTCCAACCATGCTAAAGGTGTTCAGTAGGGTTGAGATCAGGGCTCTGAAGGACACCAGTTCCTCCACCCATCACACCTATATGACCTTGTAGGACATCCCATTCCAAAGCCATGGTCATTAATATGGAGTTCCCCTTTCAGCCTATATCATCCTCCACTGCTCTAGGAAGACTTTCCACAAGATATTTTAAGCCCATTTGTGAGGTCAGGTGCTGATGTTGGAGAAGACCTGGTTCACCATCGGCATTCTAATTCATCCCAAAGGTGTTCAGTAGGTTGAGGTCAGGGCTCTGTACAGGACACTGGAGTTCCTCCACACCAAACTGGTCCTCCATGTCTTTATGTAGCTGGCTTTGTAAACAGGGGACAGTCATGGGGAACAGAAAAGGGTCTTCACCAAACTGTTACCACAAGGCTGGAAGCGCACAATTGTCTCCAATGTCTTTGTATGATGGAGGATTACCAGGACCCGTCACTGGAGACACCTGAACCCTGATATGGCGGAAGGTCAACACACTTTGGATCATATAGTGGATCAGTTTGGAGTGGTATGCTCCTATTCTCATTATTGGTAGTTATTTTTATAATGAGCCTCCAAGAGCAGGACTGGTGTTAGATGAGACCTGGGTCACTCTCGGTGTTTTAATTCAACCCAAAAGTGTTCAGTAGGTTGAGGTCTGGGTTCAGTACGGATACTGGAGTTCCTCCACACCAAACTGGTCCTCCATGTCTTTATGGAGCCGGCTTTGTACACAGAGGACAGTCATGGGGGACAGAAAAGGGTCTTCACCAAACTGGTCATCCATGTCTTTATGGAGCTGGCTTTGTACACAGGGGACAGTCAGGGGGGACAGAAAAGGGTCTTCACCAAACTGGTCCTCCATGTCTTTATGGAGCTGACTTTGTACACAGGAGACAGTCATGGGGGAACAGGAAAGGGTCTTCACCAAACTGTTACCACAAGGCTGGAAGAGCACAATTGTCTCCAATGTCTTTGTACGATGGAGGATTACCAGGACCCTTCACTGGGGACACCTGATCTCCATCATTGGGAGGGGGGTTCACATACTTTTGGTCATATAGTGTCTATATATCTAAAATCAATTTTAAAGAACATTCACTGAAATAAATCCAATCTCTAAACCAAGACATGTCCATCTGAGTTGGTGCGATAATTTGTGTCCTCTAACGTGTTGATTGGTGTTTTCTCTTCCTTGGGTTAGGGCCGCACTCTGGAAAGGTTCGGTATTTGCACAGAGATCAGACTCTCCCACATTTTGGCAAAATTGAGTCCCATAAAATCAGAAGACGATCCCGAGCTCTTCACTAGGAATGTAAAATTTGAAGGTGTGCCTGTGAGGGTCTACCAGCCCAGAGAGCCCTCTGCCGGAGGCCGGAAAGGAGTCCTGTTCTTCCATGGAGGAGGCTTCGTCTTCGGAGATTTTGGTAAGCAGAAGAGACAATACTTCCGGTGAGACACCAACTGCCATTTCCCTGTTGGTTACAATGTATCATTGCTGCCACAGAGTTAATGCAAATCCCAAACCAATCACATTTTAGGGGATATTTATAGAGAACGGGCCGCTATCTTCTCTCCACATGTTCTGTCTCTCCAATCTAAGCATTGATGGTAGGATCTCTGGGACTTACAGTTGTGATGAGATCACGATAACTTCAACCTCATCTGGACATCACAGGCAGTGACTCGATCCAGACGACATCTTGTAGATTTTGTGAAGTTTATTCCATAAACTGAGAGAATCTTACAACAATGAACATTTGATAGGTCAAAGAATCATACTGTGTCCTGCTGCATGACATGAGGCTAGAGCAGCAATGCATCTCTGGGAAAGGGGGTGGGGCTATCTTTACAGCATGAACTAAACCAAAGGAAAGGGAGGAGCCGAGACAAGATATAGAAACACCTATATGTCAGTCATGGGAAACATGACACCACATGTCGGACTTCCTTCAGTATGGTGTCACACTGAACAGTCCAGAGCAATGGTAATAGATAGAAGCATCCCACCACATCTAGGATGCCAAGTGGCCACTTCAAACAGTTCCAGGCACACTGATTATGCCCCCATAGGCCACAGGCCTCCACTGGTTCTTTCCTGGCTTCCTCTGGGGCACAGGGGGCACCATCCTTTAGTGGGGGATACACACTTCACCTCCTTATACCACCAATCCTTAAATAGGCAGAGGGCGGGGCCAACCCAGAGGATATGACAAACCGGGAGTGTCCAAAAATTAAAAAGAGCTCAAAATTAGCTCCTGCCTACACTCATCATTATCAGTTTGTGGCATTGGTGGAGTCCATGGTGTTGGTGGCATTCGGTGGTTGTTTGTTTTACCTGTGATGTTGGTGTCCTCAGAGGCAGTTGGTGGTGTCAGTGGCAGTCAGTAGTGTTGGCATCCTCGGTGGCAGTTGGTGGTGTTAGTGGCAGTCAGTAGTGTTGGTTTCCTTGGTGGCAATTGGTGCTGTTGGTGTTTTCGGTGATGTTGGTGTCCTCAGTGGCAGTAGGTAGTGTTGGTGTCCTCGGGGCAGTCAGTAGTGTTGGTGTCCTCGGTGGCAGTCGGTGGGGTTGGTGTCCTCGGTGTCAGTCGGTGGTGTTGGTGCCCTCGGTGGCAGTCGGTGGTGTTGGTGTCCTCGGTGGCAGTCGGTGGTGTTGGTGTCCTCGGTGGCAGTCAGTAGTGTTGGTGTCCTCGGTGGCAGTCAGTAGTGTTGGTGTCCTCAGTGGCAATCGGTGGTGTTGGTGTCCACGGGGCAGTCAGTAGTGTTGGTGTCCTCGGTGGCAGTCAGTAGTGTTGGTATCTTTGGTGGCAGTGGGTGGTGTTGGTGTTTTCAGTGGCAGTCAGTAGTGTTTGTGTCCTCGGTGGCAGTCGGTGATGTTGGTGTCCTCGGTGGCAGTCAGTAGTGTTGGTGTCCTCGGTGGCAGTCGGTGATGTTGGTGTCCTCGGTGGCAGTCAGTAGTGTTGGTGTCCTCGGTGGCAGTAGGTAGTGTTGGTGTCCTCGGTGGCAGTCGGTGATGTTGATGTCCTCGGTGGCAGTCGGTGATGTTGGTGTCCTCGGTGGCAGTCGGTGATGTTGGTGTCCTTGGTGGCAGTCAGTAGTGTTGGTGCCCTCGGTGGCAGTCGGTGATGTTGGTGTCCTCGGTGGCAGTTGGTGGTGTTGGTGTCCTTGGTGGCAGTGGGTGGTGTTGGTGTTTTCAGTGGCAGTCAGTAGTGTTGGTGTCCTCGGTGGCAGTGGGTGGTGTTGGTGTCCTCGGTGGCAGTCAGTAGTGTTGGTGTCCTCGGTGGCAGTCGGTGATGTTGGTGTCCTCGGTGGCAGTCAGTAGTGTTGGTGTCCTCGGTGGCAGTGGGTGATGTTGGTGTCCTCGGTGGCAGTCAGTAGTGTTGGTGTCCTCGGTGGCAGTCGGTGATGTTGGTGTCCTCGGTGGCAGTCAGTAGTGTTGGTGTCCTCGGTGGCAGTCGGTGATGTTGGTGTCCTCGGTGGCACTCAGTAGTGTTGGTGGTATCTGTGATGTCGGTGGCAGCAATGGCGGAGAGGTAATTATTTCGTATCTTCCCTCCAGGGACATGGAATTTTCCGATTTTCCACCTCGTGTGGCGATTCGACTTCCTTTTACTCCTTTGCTGTGAATTGTAATGGTCTCCTCCTCCTCATCTCACGATCGTTCATTTGTTGTAGATCACTATGACAAGATTTGCCGACACATCTCGAAGACGGCCGGAGTTGTGCTGGTGTCAGTCGGGTGAGAAGTCCTCATTTCTTAGCCACTGTTTATGCAGCAAAATATGGCCACAAACCGACAGTCACTGTTTTACCGCCCCCAATCCCTACCCCCTTTATCTGCTGAGGCAGCAGCCAAAGCAGGAATGCTGCAGCCGGAATGACGCCCCCTGTTGCTGTTGGTGGGTGCTACCGCCGGCCAAGCAGACCCATTGAAGTAAATGGGGTCACTCTGCAAGCGCCCCACAACTGCATGCCTCTGCGGGGTCCAAGAGGTTACAGCAGGTGGTGAGAAAACAACTCAACGCTGCCTGTGTGACCCCTTGTGTGCCGGGCTGTACAACATCGCAGAGCAGCCTCATTCACTTCACCTCATGGGGCGTTTAGTTATACGCCCCACCAACCATGAAGGGGCGTATAACTCCCCCACCAACCATGACGGGGCGTATAACTCCCCACACCAACCATGACGGGGCGTATAACTCCCCCACCAACCATGACGGGGCGTATAACTCACCCACCAACCATGACGGGGCGTATAACTCACCCACCAACCATGACGGGGCGTATAACTCACCCACCAACCATGACGGGGCGTATAACTCCCCCACCAACCATAACGGGGCGTATAACTATAACCCCCACCAACCATGACGGGGCGTTTAACTCCCCCACCAACCATAACGGGGCGTATAACTCCCCCACCAACCATGACGGGGCGTATAAATCACCCACCAACCATGACGGGGGTATACCTCCCCCACCAGCCATGACGGGGCGTATAACTCCCCCACCAGCCATGACGGGGCGTATAACTCCCCCACCAACCATGACGTGGAGTATAACTCCCCCACCAACCATAACGGGGCGTATAACTCCCCCACCAACCATGACTGGGCGTATAACTCACCCACCAACCATGATGGGGGTTTACCTCACCCACCAAACATGACGGGGCGTATAACTCCCCCACCAGCCATGACGGGGCGTATAACTCCCCCACCAACCATGACGGGGCGTATAACTCCCCCACCAAACATGACGGGGCGTATAACTCCCCCACCAACCATAACGGGGCGTATAACTCCCCCACCAACCATGACGGGGCGTATAAATCACCCACCAACCATGACGGGGGTATACCTCCCCCACCAGCCATGACGGGGCGTATAACTCCCCCACCAGCCATGACGGGGCGTATAACTCCCCCACCAACCATGACGTGGCGTATAACTCCCCCACCAACCATAACGGGGCGTATAACTCCCCCACCAACCATAACGGGGCGTATAACTCCCCCACCAACCATGACTGGGCGTATAACTCACCCACCAACCATGACGGGGGTTTACCTCACCCACCAAACATGACGGGGCGTATAACTCCCTCACCAGCCATGACGGGACGTATAACTCCCCCACCAACCATGACGGGGCGTATAACTCCCCCCACCAACCATGACGGGGCGTATAACTCCCCCACCAACCATGACGGGGCGTATAACTCCCCCACCAACCATGATGGGGCGTATAACTCCCCCAGCAACCATGACGGGGCGTATAACTCCCCCAGCAACCATGACGGGGCGTATAACTCCCCCACCAACCATGACGGGGCGTATAACTCCCCCAGCAACCATGACGGGGCGTATAACTCCCCCACCAACCATGACGGGGCGTATAACTCCCCCACCAGCCATGACGGGGCGTATAACTCCCCCACCAGCCATGACGGGGCGTATAACTCCCCCAGCAACCATGACGGGCGTATAACTCCCCCAGCAACCATGACGGGCGTATAACTCCCCCAGCAACCATGACGGGGGTATACCTCCCCCACCAGCCATGACGGGGCGTATAACTCCCCCAGCAACCATGACGGGGCGTATAACTCCCCCACCAACCATAACGGGCGTATAACTCCCCCAGCAACCATGACGGGGCGTATAACTCCCCCAGCAACCATGACGGGGCGTATAACTCCCCCAGCAACCATGACGGGGATATAACTCCCCCACCGACCATGACGGGGCGTATAACTCCCCCACCGACCATGACGGGGCGTATAACTCCCCCACCGACCATGACGGGGCGTATAACTCCCCCCCACCGACCATGACGGGGCGTATAACTCCCCCCACCGACCATGACGGGGCGTATAACTCCCCCCACTGACCATGACGGGGCGTATAACTCCCCCAGCAACCATGACGGGCGTATAACTCCCCCAGCAACCATGACGGGGCGTATAACTCCCCCAGCAACCATAACGGGCGTATAACTCCCCCAGCAACCATGACGGGGCGTATAACTCCCCCACCAACCATAACGGGCGTATAACTCCCCCCACTGACCATGACGGGGCGTATAACTCCCCCACCAACCATGATGGGGCGTATAACTCCCCCAGCAACCATGACGGGGCGTATAACTCCCCCAGCAACCATGACGGGGCGTATAACTCCCCCACCAACCATGACGGGGCGTATAACTCCCCCAGCAACCATGACGGGGCGTATAACTCCCCCACCAACCATGACGGGGCGTATAACTCCCCCACCAGCCATGACGGGGCGTATAACTCCCCCACCAACCATGACGGGGCGTATAACTCCCCCACCAACCATGACGGGGCGTATAACTCCCCCACCAGCCATGACGGGGCGTATAACTCCCCCAGCAACCATGACGGGCGTATAACTCCCCCAGCAACCATGACGGGCGTATAACTCCCCCAGCAACCATGACGGGGGTATACCTCCCCCACCAGCCATGACGGGGCGTATAACTCCCCCACCAACCATAACGGGCGTATAACTCCCCCAGCAACCATGACGGGGCGTATAACTCCCCCAGCAACCATGACGGGGCGTATAACTCCCCCAGCAACCATGACGGGGATATAACTCCCCCACCGACCATGACGGGGCGTATAACTCCCCCAGCAACCATGACGGGGCGTATAACTCCCCCCACCGACCATGACGGGGCGTATAACTCCCCCCACTGACCATGACGGGGCGTATAACTCCCCCAGCAACCATGACGGGCGTATAACTCCCCCAGCAACCATGACGGGGCGTATAACTCCCCCACCAACCATAACGGGCGTATAACTCCCCCAGCAACCATGACGGGGCGTATAACTCCCCCAGCAACCATGACGGGGTATAACTCCCCCACCAACCATGACGGGGCGTATAACTCCCCCACCAACCATGACTGGGCGTATAACTCACCCACCAACCATGATGGGGGTTTACCTCACCCACCAAACATGACGGGGCGTATAACTCCCCCACCAGCCATGACGGGGCGTATAACTCCCCCAGCAACCATGACGGGGTATAACTCCCCCACCAACCATGACGGGGCGTATAACTCCCCCACCAACCATGACTGGGCGTATAACTCACCCACCAACCATGATGGGGGTTTACCTCACCCACCAAACATGACGGGGCGTATAACTCCCCCACCAACCATGACGGGGCGTATAACTCCCCCACCAACCATGACGGGGCGTATAACTCCCCCACCAACCATAACGGGGCGTATAACTCCCCCACCAACCATGACGGGGCGTATAAATCACCCACCAACCATGACGGGGCGTATAACTCCCCCACCAACCATAACGGGGCGTATAACTCCCCCACCAACCATAACGGGGCGGGGCCATGACGGGGCGTATAACTCCCCCACCAACCATGACGGGGCGTATAACTCCCCCACCAACCATAACGGGGCGTATAACTCCCCCACCAACCATGACGGGGGTATACCTCCCCCACCAGCCATGACGGGGCGTATAACTCCCCCACCAGCCATGACGGGGCGTATAACTCCCCCACCAACCATGACGTGGCGTATAACTCCCCCACCAACCATAACGGGGCGTATAACTCCCCCACCAACCATAACGGGGCGTATAACTCCCCCACCAACCATGACGGGGCGTATAACTCCCCCACCAACCATGACGGGGCGTATAACTCCCCCACCAACCATGATGGGGCGTATAACTCCCCCAGCAACCATGACGGGGCGTATAACTCCCCCAGCAACCATGACGGGGCGTATAACTCCCCCAGCAACCATGACGGGGCGTATAACTCCCCCACCAACCATGACGGGGCGTATAACTCCCCCAGCAACCATGACGGGGCGTATAACTCCCCCACCAGCCATGACGGGGCGTATAACTCCCCCACCAACCATGACGGGGCGTATAACTCCCCCACCAACCATGACGGGGCGTATAACTCCCCCACCAGCCATGACGGGGCGTATAACTCCCCCAGCAACCATGACGGGCGTATAACTCCCCCAGCAACCATGACGGGGCGTATAACTCCCCCAGCAACCATGACGGGGGTATACCTCCCCCACCAGCCATGACGGGGCGTATAACTCCCCCAGCAACCATGACGGGGCGTATAACTCCCCCACCAACCATAACGGGCGTATAACTCCCCCAGCAACCATGACGGGGCGTATAACTCCCCCACCGACCATGACGGGGCGTACAACTCCCCCACCGACCATGACGGGGCGTATAACTCCCCCACCGACCATGACGGGGCGTATAACTCCCCCCACCGACCATGACGGGGCGTATAACTCCCCCCACTGACCATGACGGGGCGTATAACTCCCCCAGCAACCATGACGGGCGTATAACTCCCCCAGCAACCATGACGGGCGTATAACTCCCCCAGCAACCATGACGGGGTATAACTCCCCCACCAACCATGACGGGGCGTATAGCTCACCCTCCAGCCATGACGGGGCGTATAAAGTCATGCTGTCCCTGATTGGGGTGGACAGCCCCTCGGCCCGCCTTCCTCCTCCTCTCTCCGGTATAAAGGAAATGAATTGGTAGAAAAAACAAATCAATTATTTTGTATAATTCTCCTTTAAGGGGGCGTGGCAGGGGGTGTGTCCTAAGCCTACAAATATTTGCTAATAGGTGTCCCTCATTCCCATCTCAGACGTTTGGAGGTGTGGCTAAAGGGGGGGG